AGGAGACTATGAACTCTAATTAGCCATCCAAAAGCCACAAGTGGAGGTGTGGCTCAAGTAGTAGAGATCCATCCTTGAGTGAAGAAGCCAAACAGATGTACATTAAGAATAAAGCAGATGTGCATTAAGAGTAAACAGGAATTGCTTCTGAGTTGATGCTATTCTCACGTTCAGTCACCTTTCGGTGACTTCTGTCACCCTCTCATTTGCCAGTGGCCTTGGTAAGACAAAGTACAGTTATTACATTCAGTGTGGGCAGAAAACTGGTGGCATCATTAGCAATGATGCCAACAACCAGACAGAAAGAGAGGGAGGGAAATCTGGGCAATTGGATGGCAATTGGACAGAATTCTCTCCCTCTGGACTCTCTCAACATCTGGGCTTGTGTCTTGCATATCTTGGTTTATTTCATAAAGGTAGAAAGCTGATCCTTCTGCAATAAAACTCCAGGACACATTTGTCGTGGAGCACCAAAATAGCAAGAAAGATAAGCGAAAGAAAGGATTCACACTGCATGGCTTCCACCTGCAACAGGAGCTTTTGTTACACTGGGGCATGCCCGCACATGCCTGCTAGCCCAGAGCTGAGGAGGCTGAGGAGGGAGGATCCGGTGGTTGAAGTCTGCTAGAACTACAAAGAAAGACTTTTATCTTGAAGAGGAAGAAAAGGGAGGAAATGAAAAAAGGAAAGAAAGAAGGAAGGAGAGTGAAAGGGGAAGGAGGGAGAGAGGAAGGAAAAGAACAAGGGAGTGAGGGAAAAAAAGCAGAGCATTTATTACATTTCTCATTTATTACATTTCATTTAATCTCCTTCCTCCTCCCCGCCCATGCCCAAAGGGACTGGTGATAAACTGTCCACAGGAGAGCAGAAACTTCTGTGACTGGAATGGATTTTGACAAGAGGATCTGGGAATCAAAGCAAAGGGGTCAGGCTCCTCAACTCTTCTAAAATAGTCTTGCTGCTGAATTATCAATGCCCTTCTCTCTACCATCCACCCTACCCCCACCCCCACCTCCCACGGGTCACAGTGCATTCTGGGACCAGGTGCCTCGGGGTTCCTGGCATTGGGGCAGACAAGTTGTCCAAAGTCAGCTGATTCTCAGCTGATTCAACTTTCCCTAAGTTAGGTAAAAGGCTCGGTCTTCTAAACCAGCAGATCTTCAAAGGAAAGGTTAAAGCAATACCAGCACACTGGTTCTCATTTCCTGTAAACACACACACACACACACACACACACACACACACCTTGTCAAGCAAGAACAATAAAGGCTGCTGTTCACTCTCCCTCAATATTTTTATCCTCAACTGACACATTTTTGTTACTGAAATGGATCTGTTAGGTTTTTAAAAAGAGGTAGCCGAGTAAGAACAGCTCCATGCACGTGGTATTCAGGTAAGGGGTAGGTTTATTTAGTAGACCTGCTGGAACAAGGCAAGGTTGGCACTCCACGCGGCAGGCAAAAAAGGATGTCTGGCCCTGGATTAGGCCTTATACAGGGTAGGGGCGGGGAAAGGTGTGTCCAGGTAAAGAAAAGTGGGATCAGGTAAGAGGTGGGACCAGGTGGGAGAAAGGTGTGGCCACATCAGATTAAGATGTGACCTCAGCGGATACAGATGTGACCTCTTCCGGGTGTCCCAGTTGCCTAGGTAACGCAGGTACTGGGCGGGGTCTACTCGCCATCCAGGAATGGACCTTACAGGATCTTTAAAACTTGATCTAATGGAAACTTTATATCGTCTTATTTCATTTAAACCACAGGAGACAGGAATTGTGAATCCCAGATCCAAAGAGGGTAAGTGACTAGAATAAGAGTGTAATCATGGGCTGGGAAGGTGGCTCAGTGATAGAACGCTTGCCTTGTGTGCATGAGGCCCTGGGTTCGATTCCTCAGCACCACATAAGCAAAAAGAAAAAAGCCAGAAGTGGCGCTGTGGCTCAAGTGGTAGAGCACTAGCCTTGAGCTGAAGAGCTGAGGGACAGCACCCAGGTCCAGAGCTCAGGCCCCACGACCGGACCCCTCCCCCCCCCCCAAAAAAAAGAGTGTAATCAATATATGACAGAATCCACGTGAAAATTGGGCACTTGAGCCTGGTGCTGGTGGCTCACACTGTAATCCTAGCCACTCAGGAGGCGGAGAATCTGAGGGTCACAGTTCAAAGCTGGCCCAGTTAGGGAAGTCTGTAAGACTCTTATCTCCAATGAACTTCCAAAAAAGCCAGAAGTGGAGCTGTGGCTCAGGGGTAGAGCACTAGCCTTGAGCAGAAAAACTCAGAAACAGCGTCCAGGCCCTAAATTCAAACCCTAGGACTGGCAGGTGTGCACGCACGCGCATACATACACACACATGCACGCAAAAGAGATGGACACTTGAGGGAGATACTTGTGATAATCTCTGTAATAATTATGGGACTGAAATACGGGAAGCAGGTTAATGGGACATCTACTTGTGTTAAAAGGTTTTTTTGTTGTTGTTTGTTTTGTTTTCAAATGTGTGCCCAGAAAAAATTCGTGGCCCAGGTCTATAATCCCAACTACTCTGTTTTGTTTTGTTTTGTTTTGTTTTTTTGGGGGGGGTCCGGTTGTGGGGCCTGAACTCTGGGCCTGGGCGCTGTCCCTCAGCTCTTCAGCTCAAGGCTAGTGCTCTACCACTTGAGCCACAGCACCACTTCCGGCTTTTTTCTTTTTGCTTATGTGGTGCTGAGGAATGGAACCCAGGGCTTCATGCATGCAAGGCAAGCGCTCTACCACTGAGCCACCTTCCCAGCCCCCAACTACTCTGAAGGCTGAGATCTTGAGGATTTTAATGAGAGGCCATCTAGGGCAGAAATGTCCATCAGATTCCATCTCCAAAATAACCTGCAAAAAGCAGGCTTGGAAGCGTGGCTCAGGTAGCAGAGCACAAGATAATGTTTTTGATTGACTCTGTAGAATGAAGCTCTTAGAAGCTCATTTACTCACAGCCATTTCTCTCATACATTTCTACCACTCTTTTTTTTTTTTATAAAAAGCTAGAAACATAATTTCTTTATTTGAAAAATAATTTTATTGTTATTCTTGAGGTGTTATACAGAAGGGGATATCATTTCATCAATCAGGTAATTTCTTTTGACAAGCGTCATCTAATAGCGAGTGTTGGCTGCAGACAGGGGAGTTATTTCCTTTCTGGACCATGACTGGGCACTGTCTTGGGAATCTATAGAATTAGGGCTCAAGAGTTGCTGAGCATTCTAGGTGTGACATTTAGGCAAATTACTCATCTTTTTTTCTTTACTCAAGCTTGGCTATTTATAGTTTGAAAGCTAGAATATCTAACATTCAGGTTTTGTTGTGATGACAAATTAAACAGTATAAATAAGGTACCACATACAGCACAAAAATAAGTGCTCAACAAATTGTGGATTTTTAGTTGTTGATAAGGAATGGTCTTATGCAACATTGGGAAAAGTTCATACCATCTTCCTTAAACAACATAGTCTGAACTAAGCATGGTAGTGCACACCTGTAATCCCAGTTCTTGGGAGGCTAAGGAAGGATGATTTAGTTTGAGGCTAGCCTGGGCTACATGACAATAATGTCTAAATAATAATAATAATGATAATGCTAAGATAATAAATACTTCCAAATATGGCTCAAATGATACTGATATAGTCTACCTACAAGAGATTACAGCAGGAGCTTTGCCTGTCCTATCTTTCTGTCCCCTGCAGGGCCAGATGCTAGTCTTCAGGAATGCCTAGTGACTTCCAGTTGTGTCTCATTGCACAAGCGGAGCAATATCTGTATGCTTACAGGTGGCGCAGCCTATGGTGGCTGGTACGGTCCCTGCAGCTTCTCAGCAGGTAAATGTGAAGCTATTTCTAAAAATTAATACTTTCTTGCAAGACATCTTTCAGTTGCATGTAGATAGTGGAGCTTTACAAAATAAAACAAAAGTTTAGAAGGAGGAATGTTGAACAATAACTTCTAAGTATACTTTGAGCCAATTCTGTCATTTGAAAGTATTTACTTCCTTCTCTATTGGCTCATAGTACTTTATTTATTTTTTTTTTTTGCTTGACATTTAATTTATTGACTTCTTTCTTTTTTGATGATACTGGCATTTGAACTCCAGACCTGGCAGTTGTCACTTGAGCCACCCCTTTAGCCTTTATTGCTTTATTTTCCTGATGGAGCATTATACTTATTTCTTCCTGGGCCAACCTAGGATCTTCCTGTTTGTGCTGCGACGTAGCTGGTGACAGGTGCGTGCCATCGTGCCCAGCTCTATGTTGAGATGGGATATTGGTTTTTTGTTTGTTTGCCTAGATGGTCTCCAGCTGCAACCCCCTCAATCCGTGCCTCCCAGTAGCTGAGATTATAAGTATGCAACATCACACCAGCTTTGTGCTTATTTTTTGATATAGGAGCTCACAGTCCTCCTGCCTCAGTCTCCTAAGTGCTTGGGTCACAAGCCTGCACCATCAACACTAGATGAAATCTTTTTAGAGCACAACCCTGTAGCCAGAGTGACACGCACTGCCTGCTTGCATTTTTAATGCAGCGGATGTCAACAAGTCATAGTTACAATAACTGTTGAGAAGATGAAGCACATTTAGGGGAGAAGCCAAGGGTCCGCGTTCTGTCTTGATGAAGGTTGTTCTTGCTAAGTGGGGTTAGGACATGCATGTGCCCTGTTAGTGACATATGGATAGTCGATTGCTCACTATGTCGACTTATTGTTCTAAGTTTTATTCTCTGCACCTTATGAATAGAAAATACCATAAAAGCACAGGATTCCACTGCACGAACCTTTATTTATCCAAACCTTCTTTACCCAAATAGACCTTCTGACTTCGCACCTGGCCCGCGCCCACAGCTCGGTTGCCCCGCCCCGCCCCGCCCCGCCCCGCCCCGCCCCGCCTAGGTGTTGATATTTTCCTCCCTCGGCCACGCCCCCCAGGCCACGCCGAAGCCCTGGCCACGCCCCCTACAGGAGTTCACATCGGCCCGACTCGCCGAGCTGTTCAGCTTACCCGCAGGGATTCCCTCTCCAGCCAATCGCTGCAGAGCCTCGGGACTGCCCAGAACAAAGATGGCGGGGGAAGGCCTCAGTGAGGGCAGACTGATCTGAACACCCAAGTCCTCAGCCAAACAGCAGAGACGGTGGTGATAGCGGCGCGGTACGGACCATGGAGGAGAGCAGCAGCTCCGGGAGCGGTGGCGGCGACAGCAACAGCACCGGCGGGCCTGGCGGGGCGCAGCAACGGGAGCTGGAGCGCATGGCTGAAGTCCTGGTGACCGGGGAGCAGCTACGGTAAGGCGAGGGGCGCAGCCCCGGTGGGCTCGCGTTGGCACTGCCAGCCCGTGCCCGCTGCAGCCCTGCGCGCACGCGCACCGGGGCTCTATGGCTCGCGTGTCCCGCGCGGCTCCCAAAGACCGCGGCTGGCACGCGTGGACGGGGGACCCACGCTGTGTCCGCGCCTGGCGGAAGCCACCGGAGAGGACACGCCGCGGACGCGGGGCTGCGGGGACGGGGACGCGGGGAGGTGGGGCGTGCTGCGCCCTGGGCTGCCTGCTGCGTCCCCGCGCGCCCTCGCCGCCTCGCGCCCCCCGTGCGCCCTCACCCCCACCCGCCCTGCGCTCTTCCTACGTCCCGGGAGCCGCCTGGCCTCCTGCCGGCACCCCGCACCTCCTCTTTCCCGAGAGCCCGAGGGGCGGTGTGGGGGTCCGCGCCTGCCACGGCCCCTCTCCTCCGATCGCCTTCAGATTCGGGTGTCCCCCTGGCTGGCGCGTCCCGTTCACTCTCCTGACACCCCGTTGCTTTCCGTCTGTAAAAACGAGGCGGATCACACCGCCTCGCTGGCAGGCTGGTGGCTAGCACCCCCACCCCACCCCGAGAACCTGTTTGTCGGAGACCCGGAGCCTCTCCCTCCGAGGGCATTTCATCAGTTCTCCTTTGGGTCCGCAAGGGGGCGTGAGCCACCGTGTCAGGCCCGCCGCCCCGGTGTCACCTTGCCCAGCGCGCGCACTCGGGGCTTTGGACCCCAGGGTCGTCCTCGGGCTGCAGCAGGAATGAAGCCGCCTCGTCAGGTCTCCCAGACCCAGAAACAGCCCCGTGCCTTCGGTCTCCCTCCTCGTTCCTTTTTCTTGGCCACATAATTAACCGTTGGATTTACGGTCGGACCCGTTCCCAGCGTGTGGTCTCAAGTCACTTTGCCTGGTAAACAGAACAGAACAGAAACAACAAAGCCACCCAGCCTTATAGCATTGTAGGCACAGCTGGCACGCGGGTGCCTGACCCCCCAGAATGCCATGCTCCCCAGTTCCTTCTAGTTGTCTTGAATTTCCCAGTCCATTTTGGTTTCTAGATGGCTGTGTTTCAGGCCCCGGTGAAGGAGAATCTTGGAAAGATCCTTGGAGGTTTGGTAACTACCCCAGCTTTGCACACTTCCTTCCAGGAAGTGGAAGTAGGGATTTATCCAGTTTAGTGTTAGCAAAGACAAGTGTTCCTTGTTGATTTTTTTAAAGTATATATGGTCGAAAATAAAGGGAATAAAAGTTTGTTTCCCAGTATTAATAACATTTTCTAATTTAAAAATTGAAGTAAAGCTTTTCTGGGAAAAATAAAAAAACTAATCTGAAAACCTTTTTTTTTTTTGTTTAAGTGGTTTAATGTCTTTACCAGTGGGCTAAAGTTGCTTCCTTTTTATTTCTTCTTCAAATACTACATTGTGTGTAGAGTGCTTTGTCTTCAAGATGCTTTCTTTCTTAAGTGTCCTTTCTCAGTTCCCAGCTCTCTCCTTTCTAGCACTTTTGTGCCTGTGGTGGTTTTCAGGCCATAGTCAGGAGTTAGTAAAAATAGATTCTCTCTCTCAGGAGTTAGATTGAGCCTTGGATTTCTGCTCTGCCCTGCCCTGGTAGTTAGGTGTCAACATTAAGTTTGGGGAAGGACTTTAAGGCAGAGTGAATTCAGTCTTCCTACAGGTTTAATTCCTGCAGAGCCCTGTGCAAGTTTTTAATTCCCAATGATGACTCATTATGTAATTTACCTTGTGGCGTTATGATGAGGATTGGATGGTAAGCATTATATCCGTTTTATCTCTTGTAGCTGTGACCTTAGACAGATCACTTCTCTGAGCCTTTGTTTCCTCATCTGTACAATGGCAATGAAGCTGAAAGTATTTCCTATGAGGTGGTGAGATCTCGTCCCAGGCCTTCCTGTATTAGTGAGCAATCTCCAAGTGGTTGCTGGAATGAATCACTGTTATTGGACTCACTGCATCACCATAGGTGACTTCTGGCCACCACACCTGGCAGGAAAGACCAAGTGATTACTAACAGCACTTAATATGGAACCAGGCTGCCGGGATTTGTCTCTCCATTGACCAGTTCTGTCACTTTGAGACCGTCTACTTGTCTTGCCTTAGTTTCTTCTCTGAAGAAAGGGGATTGATTGTGATGACACATCTCGTTCAGGAGTTTTTTTTGGATGGGGGGAAATACATGACACAATACCCATCAAAGTCAGAGGAAGCCAGGTGCTAGTAGTGCCTCACACCTGTAATCCTTGCTACTTCGCGGGCTGAGGTCTGAGTGAGGTGCATGCTTCAAAGCCAGCTCGTGCAGGGAAGTCCAGGAGACACTTATCCCTAGTTAACCACCAAAAAAGCCAGAAGTGGAGTTATGCTCAAGAGCACTAGCCTTGAGTAAAAGAAGCTCAGCGTCAGACCCCTGGCTCTGAGTTCAAGCCCCGGGATAGGTATACACACACACACATCCAACTTCTGAATAAATGTTACCCACTTCTGTTTTACTTTGGAAAATTTTGACCTCTGTAATTTGTTTTACCTCTGGGACTAGTCCATCAAATACTCAGTATTCGAATGAGGATTGTATGCCATCAGTAGACAAGCTAGTACAAGGAAATACCATCTTTAGAATTTAAAGATGCAAACGGCCGTGTGCCTGGCCTCCGAATAGATGGAGGGGTGGAAGCTCTGGCTAGCTTGTTATTGGTGTCGCTGTGTAGTCCTTTGTCCTCAGCTGCCCTTTTACAATATGATTTTGGACACTTAGTGATGACCAGGCCACCTGCTTCCTGGTTGCCTCATACCCACCCACGGCTTTGCCTCTGCTTTCTCTTGCCTGGCCTTGCTTTCTGGGTCATCAGTGATGAGGTGAAGGAAACCAAATACGAAACCGGGATGTGACATTTCAAAACTGGCTTCGTTCAGTTTCGTCTCCTTGCTCTTTGTCTTTATAGCCATTCCCTGCTCCATCCACAAACCTTAGTGCCCTTCCCTGCAGAATGCAATCCTCTCCACCCACGCAGGCCTTGTGGTGTTGGATCAAATGGGGTTACCCCACGCGAAGGAACTTTGTTAAACTAAATCAATATGCCAAGAAGCGTGGTGTTGTGATTATCATATGCTCCAGATGTGAAGCGGGGAGCAGGGTGCCCAGTACTGACACTTCTCTGCAGTTTGGTCGCAAGAGAACAAGCACCACAATATCTTGTTTTTTCCTGCCATTTTGACCGCATGACCTTTTTTCCTGAATTCTCTTCAGGCTTTTCTTTTGTCATCAAATGTCTCACTACCTTGGCCAATGTATTTCTGTAGTTTTGCATCTTAATGGATTTGGAAAGCTGGGCACTAGTGGTTCACGCTTGTAATCCTAGCTACTCAAGAGGCTGAGATCTGAGGATCACAGTCCAAAGCCAGCCCAGGCAGGAAAATCTGTGAGACTCTTATCTCCAGTGAACCACCAGAAAACCAGAAGTGGACCTGTGGCACAGGGTGGTAGAATGCTAGCTTGAGTAAAAGAACTCAGGAACAGTGCCTAGGCCCTGAATTCAAGCCCCCCCCACCCCCCCACACACCAAAGAATGGATTCAGGGCTGAGCATGATGATGCATGTCTGTAATCTCAGTGCAAAGCAGGCAGAGACAGGAGGATCTCAAGTTAGAGACTAGCCCAGATAGGGTTAGCTAGACCCTGTCACATAAAATTGGAAGGGGGTTGGTAGTAGAGTGCTTGCCTATTCTGCAGGAAGCCCTAGGTTCCAGTCGTTAATACCAAAAAGAAAATGTATTTGAATACATCCCCCCATCCCTCACCAAGGCTGATTACTCCATGTGCACATGTGCGTGCACGCATGCTATGTACTAATCCTGGGGCTTATATTCAAGGCCTGGGCACTCTCCCTTAGCTTTTGTGCTCAAGGCTAGCATTCTTACCATTAGAGCCATAGCTCCACTTCTTCCAACTAACAATAACAAAACAAAAAAGAAGGGGGAGTCAGGGAAGGGGAAGAGGAAAATAATTACAAATAGATGGTTTATAACAAGGGCATGTATAAAACAAGCCAGCAAGGGCATGTATAAAACAACTGCGTGTTGTTGGTTGTTTGAGATAGTTAGGTTATCAATACTGCCCAGGCTGGCCTTCAACTCCCAATCTTCCCATGTTAGCCACTCAAATGCAGGGGTTACATGTGTCATGGCTTGTCCCAGATCCCTGGGATTACTGTTGCAAAGACCCTGTTGCTATTTAAGTGATGTCTCCTGTTCGTGTGGAAATGGGTAAATCCCCAAATAAAGTATACCAATCTCCAAAGAAGATAAATGTCAGGTGAAGGAAGGCCCTTCTTCTCCCCTGTTTTTTCTAGTATTTATTTGAATCAAGAGCTTTTTCTTCTTCTAAAATCTTGGCTGTTCAGTAGTACTTTCCCATGACCGACAAGCATCTCTAGAACGATCACACATTTCAGTCTTCTCTAGTGTCTACTAGATCTGAGATCCTTCACTAAGCTTGGAAGCGTGTATGTCAGTGGCTGTGTTTGGGAATTATTAGGTGGTTGGGGGGCCAGTCTGGAGACCGCCTTGGGGACCGAGGGCTCGAGGGGCTGGCAGCACTTGCACAAGCAGCTGCTCTCCATGGCAAAGCCAGCAGAAGCCTGGAGATCTGTGGCTGGGTGGGAAGTGTGCACACCATCACTTCCCGTATCTTGTCCAACACTGTCAAGACTGGATAGGGAGGGGAGATGGAGTCTAATGTACACCCTGTTGGTGGGATGAGGTATCCTTCTGGATGTCTGGTTTTTGTATAGCAGCTGTTGCCAGGGTGTGGCCAAAGGGGACAAACACCAGGGCTCCAGCTTGGGGAAGCCCACGGCAGCTGCAGAAGAGCTGGGTCGCAGCTTGTAGCAGCTGAGGAAGGCTTAAGTCTCTACCGCTAACCTTCATGCAGCTACTGATGGCTGTGTGGGGTTTTGTTTGTTTGTTTTTTTATTAGTGGGGTTTGAATTCAGAGC